GCAGGATTTTTGTTTTGTTTTTAATTTAAGAGATACATTCCTAGTGGTGTTTGTTATTTAGATTTGTGTAGTTTGAAATAATGTGGTATGTTTTTAATTCATGCATTATAGACAACACTACCCCCTACCAAAAAATAGGACCATAATAACCATTGTTGCCCAAATAAAAGATAAAAGCACTAGTCAAAACAAATGCTGTACTGGGCTTTCAATAATATGGTCTCCCTGTAACATTAACATCAAACTCTAGATAAAAACTTGGATTTGGGGTCAGAATTCAAGTTTGCCACATTTTCTTGAAGATTTATTCAGTCAAGAGGCAGGTAGATTCTTCCTCTTCCCCCTAAAATGGACTATTTGATTTTTATCTTGGTTAATCATAAATTTATATCCCTTCCAACACAATTTAAAAGGCAAATAAAAAGCTGAAGATGTTCTCCAGAGTGGTTGAAAGTTAACATAGTTTCCTTAAAACTGTTTCATTACTTAATACAGAGAACTTTCTGCCAGATAAATAATAATGATATGAAGGCACCAACATTTTATTTTGTATTGGGAAACTAGATAAAGAAAAATCTTATTGGGGAAAAATATTTTTTTTTATTAGGTTTGGGGACATAAATTGTGTTGCCCATGTAATTTATGAAATTACATGCTTTAACTTTTTTTTTTTTTTACCAATTACTGCATTTGTCATTGAACTTGCCTGTCTTAAAAATCTGCATAGATTCATTTCAAGGCTGTTCTGATCATTTGGTTACTGCTTTCAGTGGCCATTTTTTATCATATATTTATTTTAAATTCCAAGTTATAGCAGTAGCATAGCTATAAGTATAGTCAAAATAAAGGAATTTTTGCATAAGTCCAATCACTAAAATATCATATTTCTTATAGCTTCAGTAAATAACAGACAAAACGGTGACTTTCCAGTGAGGAATAAATTTTGCACTAATTTAAACCTTGAATGTGAAATCAATGCAACAAGATGTGTAAGTGGAAGTAATAGCTACTGAAACCATATGACCGACATCCATCTGTACGTCTCCACCGCCAGTCTCCAAGCCACCCTTGGAGTAACCCCCTCTTTTCGGTTTGCTTGTTTCCTGTCCCCTCACTGTAACTCATACGCTCTCATTTGTAGAATATCAGGGGAGACAGTACTTAATGGGCAGCCCAATGGCACTAGCTCCTGTGGTGTATGCTCCCAAGTAAAAATTATGTCCTCTGGTTTCTGGGGCATATGACACCAGGAAAACAAAAAGCAAAAGGAAACTAATAAATATATCCCATAGGCTACGTAGAGTGGAACCCTCTCAAAGTGAATGTAGGGTTAGAGTCTAATCATGCTTGTTGGCAGATAAATAATACTTGCCTTACCCACCACCCCCAAATGTAGCTGTGTGTAGGGCACATTATTGGATCTATCCACATATCATCATTATTATTACTATTATTATTACTTCCACTCTCTAAAAGTAAATAAATATACCAATCATATGTACTATTCTTTGTTACTTAAATTAAGCCCATCAAATTTGCATAATTAGAATGTTCCTGATCAGCCAGTTCATGTGGATTTGGGAGAATCCATTTGTGGAAGCACTGAGATTTAAACACTCAGCTACTCTGTTAGATTTGTCCTGGTGAAATTAATTTTACAAGAACATTTTTAAAGGGCAAAAAATATTCCATATGTCATATTCACCGCTACTGCTTATTGAAAATAACTTTGGGGGGGGGATCTATAAAAGAATGATAGAAAAGAAGCGAGGGATCTTAGAGATCTTCCAATTGAACCTTCCTGTTATACAGATAAAAAAGCTGAGACCAAAAGAGGCAAAAGGATGATTCAAGATAACAAAGGATGCCTCTTTCTAAGCAATATATCCTGGCAGGCAGTGGACCAAAAAGGTTAAGAGCCTGGCACAGCCTGGGTTCAAATCCTGGCTCCACCACTTAACCAGCGTGGTTAGTAAACATGTCAGTTTTAGCCTCAACTTCCCTTTCAAATCGTTATAACAGTCAATAATAATAAACAGTAGATGTAGTGGTGTCTACTAAGTAAGTTTGTTGTAAGAGTTAAATGAGCAAATATATGCAAAGTGCTCAGCACAGTGCGGCACGTAGAAAGCACTATGTGAACGTTAGTTGATGTTATTACTATCTTTCATAAACTTTTCCAAGTACAGTTTCAGGGAAAAACAGCTCAAGTTTCCCTTCTTTGAAACCAGAGCCCATTTCTGCATAATGCCCATGGATGGCTCTGAACACAGAAGAGGAGTCAGTAATTATTAGGTCCCCCACAGATTTACCAAGGACTGATCACGTCACACCAACCTCTTTTCCTCCCTCCCTCCCTCCCTCCCTCCCTTCCTTCCTTCCTTCCTTCCTTCCTTCCTTCCTTCCTCCTTCCTTCCTTCCTTCCGATTAGGGAAATGGTGCATTTGAAGAGGCCTCCGCTGGGCCTTTGACCGGGACTTGTGACAGCCTTGTCCGAGATGTGGAAGGGTTAAAAGACAGTCAGGTGTAGTAGAGAATTAGTAACTGGTGAAGCAACTCTGCTTAAACGTGCAGGTGGATGGACCAAAGTCAGTAAGTCCTCAACCCCTATCTGGTTCACACATTTATTAATGACAAATGAAGCTGTTGCTGCCCTGCTTATTAAATTGACAGTTAGGGGCAATGACGAAATATGAAATTGAAGGACTACATTCGGATTGATAAAGTTGATGACTACGGTCCCTTCTAACTATGATAGTTAGCAAGACTATTTGAACAATTTAATAGGACTACCATTGTTCTACATTAAATTTTGAAACACCAAGGAAAATTTTATAAAAGAATTCCCCCAGTAAAGATCCTCCCCGCTGGGGCTGACATCTCTCTGGGTCTGGGATGTGCGTTACCTTCTAGCTCTTAAAAGCCAGTATGATGACACTATGCCAAGTAGCAATGACTCTAAATAACAGAGTTGAATATTAGATGTGGAAAACTTCAGCTCCCTTAATTCTGTGCAGATTTCTTAGAAATAAATCATCTCAGTAGCCAGCTTTCTTTAGTATCGTAAATGGATCCAGCCAGCTACGCAGAGAGCAGCTATGTCCCAATGACCACATTAGCATTAGCCAGAGCTCTGTTCCCTCTTTCTGCAGTGAATTTCCTTTATTCCATGTGTGTTGTCGTGCCTGAATGGGAATTCCCCCAGGAGCTGCTCTTTTTTATTACTTAGGTAGCAAGCATACAGCTTTTACCTCTGTTATCTCTGACCTGCTGTGATATCAGCTGACCTGGGTGGATTAATTTTTAATAGAGAGACATGCCATACTTATGTCCAGAGTTCTTTGTGACAAGACACATGACTAAAATCAAAATCACTGCACCCAGGGAATTCTGGTCCAGCTATGAAAACACATTTATTTTATGTGGTCCTTTAAGACGAAAATCCAATTTGAAACCTCAAATCTTTTCTGTTTTCTCTTTGAACAGTTTTCTTACAATATCTTCGTGTTTTATTGCTCTAGCATTACTGGTTAAATATAAAATATTTCCCAAACCAGCAACTGGGAATTGTCAGTGAATGCATCCTCGAAACTGGCTCTCTCTGCAGGTGATGCCGTTGGACATAGCGGCGTGGACCACACTGTTCCTTTTGCTTCTTTCTCATTTTCATATTTGAGTGCCAACTATCAAAGCATGAGATAGCCTTGTATTTTTAGATCATTTCCAAATAAAACAGGGCCAGTTGGTTTTATTGATTGTTATATTGAACTATGTATTACATGTAATTTTATAACTCTTTGGAATGGGAGCCTTAAATCATAAGACTGTATAGGATAAAAGTAAAGATAGCAAAAGAAGAAATCACACCTGCATTTCGTGTCGCATAGGTGAGAAACGCCACCTCTGTTGTACATGTGGACGAATGATAAACGTTACCTTTTTATTTTGTCAAAGATGAAATTCATAATGGTTTTCCAGTTCATGTTTTTAAATAAGTGAGTTCATCCACCCTAACTATATGCTTTAAGAGAAAATGTCACCCGTAAGCTAGAACTTCTTCGGCTGTACATTTCACTGATACCACCGGTGATTCTAGGAAAACCGCACCTCTGGTGTTCTTGTCGATGAAGTGGTTGGCCAAGAACGGAGCCACAGAACAGCCGTGCCCCTCAAAGGGAAATAAGATATGTGGCCCCAAGTGAGCTACAGAGCGTCGAACAATCATAATTATGTTCCATGATTACTATTTTATAGTTAATTCAGGATCACAGTACAGTGTATCTCTTACTGGAGACATGCTTGGTTAATGGGCACGCACTCATTTTGCGGAGACCACATAGTTAAAAACTTAAAGATTAATTGTAACATTTTTCAAGAGATGCTCTCCTAGATTCCAACAATTGAAAGGGCTTTGGGATCAGCCTTTTCAAACTAAAGTTTTGCTGGGTAGAAATGTCAAACTAGCCAGCACAGCCTTATGCCAATATCAACATCAGACTTTGTCACCACCCTCTGTCCCGATAAACCACCCTGCCCTTCCCCCTGGTTGATTCGCTCCTTGGCCTCTCTGAAGTGAGGTCATTGCCTGCCGTGTCACTGTTCAAACCATCTTAACCCTTTCCCTGTCCCGGCTCCAGTGATTTTAGCCCTTGCAGAAAATGACTGCTGTTTTATGAAGTATCATGAAATGAAAGATGCATCTGGTCAGCTTAATCGTTCCATTTTCCGCAACACTACATTTTTATTATTTTTTAGGGATTACTTTCCACTCTCCCTCTCCTCCCCTCACCTCTCAGTCCATTTTTTCCTTTGATGCTGGCAGTTCTGAGCTGCTCATAACTGAGCCCTGCCTCTGAGCAGGAGCCGGCTGATAGCTTTAGTACAAATGGTGAAACAACTCCTGTGTGTCTCCAGCTTCAGCCAAGTAAATGTACCACCATATTCTCTGCCACTTTCTGAGACTCAGTAGGCAAGAGCCTGTCTCCAACACTGCTTCCATTTTTTTCAAAATATTTATATTATCATCTGTGTTCCCGGATCAGTTGGGTCTCTTTAAACCTTGAGAGCCTATAGACCTCATTCCCCATGAGGTTAACTTTTTAAAATTAATGTGCTTATCTCTCCTACGATACAGTGGGGTCTTCAACAATTTCAGACAGTCCTCCTTGTTATTGAAGCACCTGGCACGCTCTAAATTAAAGCACTGTCCTAGAGTCAGGAGGTTTAGTTTCTAACCCAACTGTTGTCATTGATTAGGTATTTGCTCTTAACTTCTTTGGGTTTCAGTTTCCTTATCTATAATCTGTTGGGTTGAATCAGTGGTTCTCAAAACTGACTGCATTTGGTATCACTTGTGCAACTTTTAAGTGTGTGTGTGTGTGTGTGTGTGTGTGTGTGTGTGTGAGAGAGAGAGAGAGAGAGAGAGAGAGAGAGAGAGACATCTGGGCCCTCATCTGAAAATTCTGTTTAGTCGGGTGGTGTGAGCACCTGTACATTAGGAGTTATTTCTCTCTCCCTGTGTGACCCTAATGTGCAGCCAGGTTGAACAATTACTAGATTAGATATGTATGAAGTTTCAAGTTTCAACCAGCCCTAATGTTCTATGATTATATGATCTTTTTAAATAAAATACTGAGTAAGTACTTGTTTAAGATAATTTTGTAGATTTTTATAAATACTTTGATAGCTGAATGAGCAATTGTTCCATGATTCAAACTGTGAGAATCCCAGAGTTTAAAATCATGGCCAAATCCTAGCCTTGTGTAAAACACAGTCATCCACAAATGTCTTTAAAGCATAACTTTTTAAAATGTGTAACGTATGACAAATGAAATACCCTCCATCATCTGAGATCTATCTTTAAAATATCTTAGATAGGATTTTATTTTAATAAGGAAAGGACTGTGTTGAGATGCTCTTGCAGTAAATAGAAATAAATATCACCCTATTCCCTCCCAAAATCACAAATCAGGATTTTGGTGCTGAGTATGTTTTTTTCTTAAAGATTATCTAAGATAATTTGTACAGATCTGTCCTTTGTAAGATGTTCTTCTTGTCTCTCTCTTCTTCTTTTTTTTTCTTTTTCTAATTATATATGTATCTTACTTGAACTGTACCCTTGAGCAGCTTCTGAAGTTTCGACTGCAAAGCATGTGTCTTTTTTTATTTTTATTTTTTTAATCCTTAACCGAGGATATTTTTTTAATTGATTTTCAGAGAGAGTGGAAGGGAGAGAGAGAAACATCGATGTGAGAGAGACACATCAATTAGTTGCCTCCTGCACAGGGCCCCGGTCGGGGCTGGAGATGGAACCTGCAACCGAGGTGCATGCCCTTGGTCACAATCGAACCCGGGACCCTTCAGTCCGCAGGCCGATGCTCTAACCGCTGAGCCAAACCCACCAGGGCAAAGCCTGCATCTTAAATGTGCTAGCCCCAGCCACCAAGCAGAAGCACCTAAAACAGCTTACTGAGCCTCAGCAGAAGGCGCAGACTCCTAACCACACGGGCCACACACGACTAACGCAGCGCCTCGGCTGGAGCTCTGCCCACTCGTGGAAGATGGGTAGCCACGATGCCAAGCCTCGCCCTCCCTGGCTCCGGCTCCCTTTCCATAATGCCCTCGGTGGGAAGTCCTGCCGGTGATGTGCAGGGCAGTGGGAAGCAGGCGCCTCCCTCAAGGCTGTCAGAGCAGCCGAGCAGACTCCCGAAAGCCATCGAGGATGGAGCTAGCGGGGATGGATGGTGGCTGTCGGCTAACTTGGTGATTCCGGCCAGGGCACAGTGTCCCTGCTCAGAACCTTAAATCCAAAATGAGAGGCCATTCTGCGCCTCCTAAATTCAGTGCCTCCTAAATTCAGTGCCCCCTAATGCTCCCAGAAACCTTGGCAAACACCTGCGCTTTAAAGAACAGCTTTGACCTCCTACCCCCGTTATCTTCCAGAGCCCACGCCTGCCTTGTCCTCGCACCAGCAGGACAGCGTGGACGAGGACGACGCGGGCCTCTCCCCGCCGGCCGGGCGCCTCATTCGCCAGCTTCTGGATGAAGACAGCGACCCCATGATCTCTCCTCGGTTCTACGCTTACGGGCAGAGTAGTCAGTACCTGGACGACACAGAAGTGCCTCCTTCTCCCCCAAATTCCCACTCTTTCATGAGGTTTGTTTCTTTTTGTTGATCGGCAAATGCATCATCATCAGGATAGTCATGGCTGATGGCCAGTAATTTTTCTTAATTAAGCTGTAAGTCTGTGAAGGAACATATTTAAAATTCTCCTTCCTGGGACACAGGCTGCATTGTCATTTTTCAGTTGAACGTTGGCCCAACTGCAGCGTCGCCTACTGAATTTCTATTAGCGCCTCCTTTAAGCTCTGTCTCAAATGTAACGTCGAGGTCCAGAGCAGACATTTCAGTCCTAACTTTGCTGATTATAAATGTGAGCTGGAGGAGATTAGACCCACTTAATAGGTGGGACATATAGAGCTCAAAGTCACAAAACAAACTAGTAGTCACATTTCTTCTATTCGCGAGCACGGAGACCTTGGCACCCTGCTCCTCCGGGCCTCCCCCGTCCAGCCCTTCCCAGCAGGCAGTGGCTCCCTGCTGGGGAAGCTGACCCAAGGGTCCCCTCACAGGCAACGGAGCTGCTCGCTGGGGTCCTACGATGACGAACACGAGGACCTGACACCTGCCCAGCTCACGCGCAGGATCCAGAGCCTGAAGAAGAAGATCCGGAAGTTTGAGGACAGATTTGAAGAAGAGAGGAAGTACAGGGTAAGTGCCTCCTCCCAGGTTCTTTCCGCCCCCGCCTCTCCCCGACATGCCATGCCAACTGTCAGCAGCTCAGAAGTGATCAGGGTTAAGGGAGATTTCTAGGGCGTCTCAAAGCAAAAAGGCAGTGAAAACTGGGTCGTAAACGCTAATAAACCTCGAATTTCATGTATCAGCATTTTCCTTGCACAAATGTATTCTTACAAATAAACTGAACACTTAAGTCTATGTTTTGTAAACTTACCAGTGAGCCAGAATGGGAAAAATCATTAAATGAAGTCTTTTGTTTGGCTACAACTTGATTCAAGATTACCTTCTAAAATTTCATTAGTACTGACCTCATTCTATTCTTAGCTCTATCCTTGGTATTTCCCACAAGAATGGCAGAAAGACATTTTTCAAGGTGGTTGCAGTGTAAAATATCACATACCCCTCTGCTTTCTATTCTGTTAGCCTGACAGGGTGAACCCTACAAATAATGGAAACAGGGCCACCCGTGGGCCTCATACAAGTCCGTGACTCTAAAAATTTGGCCTTTTTGCCTCTGAGGAATTCTTTAAAAGCATCAAAACCAACCAGATGTAAAGAATGATGATGGAATTAAACTTGTGAAGCTTGCCCTGATCGGTCATGGTTAATTTCCTATTCCGGTGGGACTCAGTGTTTGCTTCCTGCTTAAAACAAACTGATCATCAAACGCTTCTTTTTCTTGCCCCAATTCCAAGACATTCACCTAAGTCTTCTTTTTCTCAGCCCTCCCACAGCGACAAAGCAGCCAATCCAGAGGTTCTAAAGTGGACAAATGACCTTGCCAAATTCCGGAAACAACTCAAAGGTAGGTAAAGCTCTAGCCCTGTGGCGTGGTTTCTATAGAACAAGCCGGTGCAGAATCCATGTCTCACCTCATGCCAAGTGCCACTGCTAAAATCTTCCAGAAGAGACAAGTTCCTTAAAGCTGTTTCCCAGTGCTCGGAATTCAGGGGGCACCCTCTCCATGTCTCCCATGGTCTCGATCACAGGGTAACCCAGATGAGCTACGATGCAAATTCAGTAGCATTTCTTCAATTCCCTAAATGGCTAATACAAGGATGATGGTTTCAATTCAGTACTTATTCCATACCTGTTTAATCCAGGGCTTTACTTGCTGTGGTATTAGAAGACACGTAGACACAGAAATGAGTATGAAAAGGATTTGGTCCCCGCCCCTCAAAGAGCTTGCTATCTTTTTGGAGATAGATATATAAATAAGTAAACAGAATAAAAGTAAAAATAACTCCAAAACGAAGTACGTAAGTCACACAGAAAGAGCTGGCCAGCAGCTGGGCACTAGGTGGGTAAATACCTTTAAACACTAAGGGAGGGAGTGCAGGAAGACACCTGCCACACCCTGAGGGCAGCCGACAGGTTGGTAAGGCTGAAGCACGGGTATCAGCCAAAACAGCTCCTGCTTTCTCAGGACTGAGGGTTAGGGACACTGTCCAGATAATCCAGGAAGACGTTATCATTCTTGGGTTTTATATAATAACCCAGGGATTTCAACTAATGTTCTAATTAGGTACTTTCCCGGGGAGGACGGGGGGACAGGGCTAAGTAGTTATTAGCATCGCAGAAAAACAATTTGGGTTCTGCAGACATCAATTCCCATCTCTCTCCGCCCCCAAATCTTTCCGACTAGAGTTCAAACTAAAGATATCTGAGGAGGACCTGACCCCCAGGCCGCGGCAGCGAAGCAACACACTCCCCAGGAGTTTCGGTTCCCAGCTTGAGAGAGACGATGAGAAGAGGCAGGAGGTGACAGACAAGGCCATGAAGCCCAGCGTCGAAGCGACGCTGGACTGCATCCAGCGGAAGCTGCAGGAGAAGCGGGCGGAGACCAGCCGGCCGGAGGACATCGAGGTGCGATGATTCTGGGAAGGCCCCGCGCCACCCGCTCAGCCTACGCCGTGCCAGTCAGCGCTGTAGAAGCCTAGGCCGGGCCACACGGGTCCCGGTGGGGCCAGTGATGGAGCGACGCCTTTGGAAACCTCCCACACCCTCCTCTTCCACACTTTTAGGCGTCTAGAGAAGCCGATGAAACAGCTGCGGAGCGCTTTAACTGCAGCTCCTTGGGTTTTTTACTTCAAATTAAAATCAGAAAACTCTGTGGCACAGATTGCAGAATGAACTTGTTTAGGTTCATACAGTTTGGTGACTCTCGGAGGCAGAATAATTATTAGGAGCATGTGAGGCAACTTGTTATTCAACACACCTTTGGGACTGTGCGGCCCAGGACTAGTCATCGCTTGGGCCGCCGGGTTAAGCCCCTGTGCCGTGCAGCCTTGCTTGCCTCAGTGTTCAGCTAATGTGTTGAACGGTGTTCAAACATGTTCTAATGCCGCCACAGGGAAGCTGATTCTGCGGCACGGCCCGTATTTCTAGCAAGAGGTCAGGAGCAGCTGATTTCTGGGAGCTTTGCATAGAGCTAGGAGGAGCATGAGGATTCTTTTTAATCCTACTTTTTTGTGTTGTTGAACTAAAAAAAAAACCAAGAAGTAGAAATGTTCACAAGTATTTACCCTTTTCACTTCTCTATCCCTGTGTTTATACAGGACATGACCAAAGACCAGATTGCTAACGAGAAAGTGGCTCTGCAGAAAGCTCTGCTATATTATGAAAGCATCCATGGACGGCCGGTAGGTGGACGTGCTGAATTTTCTTTCTGATTGGGGTAAATCCTCTGGCTTTCAACATGGATCTTCTGTGTTCAGTAGTTTGCAGATGAGGTTTCCTGATGTTTAACATATGACTTGATGTTTTCACCAGAACTAAGCTTTCTGAAGGCTAAAACTGTGATAAGAGTTTCACTACCTAAGTAGATGCTGAATTTAATTGAGCTTCAAAGAAAAAAACTTAGTTTGCAACTAAAGTTTAGTCACTAGTGTCCTGCTTCACGGGGAGAATGGTGGAGGGG